TCCCTTGCATATACCTTGCTCTCAAAGTGTTATATCTTGAGCTGGCCCCAGCTCTCAGAACCAGGGACCCTTGGATCCTACGGGTCTCCTCAAGAACACAAATCCAATACCAAAAAAATAAGGAAGAAAAAGATGCGTCCCCTCTGGAGGAATATTATCACTGAATGGGCTATAACTGCCGTGAGGGACTTAAATATGCATTCCAGCATCCCTTCTCTAGATGGCAACTGAGCAGGGCTGGAGCCTTCGTAACTGCCCTTACTTGTTGGGGTTTTCCTGCCCTGTCTTAACCGGACCCCTGTGGTCCGAGAGCTCTGCTGCCTCCGTGCTCTGAGACCTTGACTGCCCTGGCCTCAGTCAGCTTGGAGGCAGTCTCCTCTCCCTCTCCTGCAGCACTGTTGTGCTTTTTAAATCCCCTGCAGTGGTGCCCATGTCTGACATCATCAGCTGACTGCCACCTATATTGATTGACAGGGAGCTTATTAACCAGCGTGGCAATGCCGTACGTTGCTCCAGCTCTGGCACTCCCTGCCAGTAAGTTTTCTGTCTTTTATTCTGGGCTCTCTGCCCAGCCTGTTCGGGGTCAGGTGGGGTTTCCAGAGTACTGGAGGACTGTGCTTGGCCCCTGCCATCACATATTGCTTCTAAAAGATGCCCAGGTTTGACCTCTGGAGGGCCTCAAGTGGGGGAAGTTCCAGAACTGAGGAGTGACTGGTGAGGATGACCTCCCCTCCATTTTCACCAACTGGACTTGGTGTGCTGATGACCCTTGCAGGAGGTTGCTAATTGCTGATCTTGGGGATTGCAGTCAGGTGTATATATATTATGGTGTGGTCTTCAGTTGCATGCATTATTATTTCCACATCACTAATGCATTCAAGTATATAGGATGGAAGGTACTTGCTGAGTTGTATTTCTGTGTTTCATTTTGTACTTGTCATTGAATATATGGCCTGAAGCCTTATTTACTGCACATTAGTAATTCCTTCTTTAGAGCAAGTTTGAATAATTTCTTCATTGGATTTTCTGTGATGTTTGACATTGTTACTCAAGTGCATCAATGACTAATCTTTGGAATGCCCCCTGAGACAGAAATGGTATTATTCCTACTTTGCAGATAGCTAACTCTGGCATACAGATGCTAAGATAAAATGTATGCAGGAATTTTGGATGTCCAGGTTGAGGTGTCTGTTGCCTGATTTTACTGAACAGTTGGTGTTTGTTATGGCACACTTTACGTCTTAAGCACAGTTCCGATTAAGTTCATTTGGAGCTGTGAGCACTCAACACCGTGGCAAATCAAACCCCCAGGGTTTCAAGTCAGGCACCCAGAAAAGGAATACCGTGCTGTTGGTGACTTTTGGAAACTTTTTATTGCATGACCCTCAATCCCCAGAGAAGGTTTATCCTCTAAACTGAATTTAGGCCAAAGTCCTATGAAAAAATTGGTATGAGAGACTACCAGAAGACATTCTTAAGGGGGCTGAATCAAAGTTCCACAGGTAAACTAAATTCTGGGAACTCCAGCTTTTGAAAGGTGACTTTGTAATCTTAACATTCTTCGTTTCTTGGTGTGGGTGATAAAACTTAATAGCTTTAATAATGTAAACAGGGAAGTATCTTTTGTGGACTCATTGGGTTTTTATAGATGTGCTCTGGGGGGTGGAGTGTGTGTGTGGGGGGCACTTTAATTATTGCAGCTCCAAGAGCCGTGGTAATTAAAAGCGCCTGGAGCGTGACGTCTATCAGCGGCCCGTCCTGAAAAACGGCAGTGTGGTGCTTTGAAATAAACCTCATTGAACAAGCTTTAGTTGTTCATTTTTCAGTGCAGGGACGTTGATACATGTGATGCTGTAGTCTGCTGGAGCACAGTAATTACCATTCTCCAGCAGACTCAATTAATCGAGTCTGCTCCGATGCGCTGTAATTATGGTGCATCAGAACAGCCTCCCTGCATGTGTAGAGGGGCCCATTGACACCCAGTTGATTTATTGCCAGGTTTGGAACTTCCAGCTCTACTGAGCAGACATATATAGTTTTTCTTAAGGGTATTAAGTGATATTTTTAGTAGGTTGTTCTCCTCTAAATGGACGAGTCAGTGAATGGTGTTGCTGTGCACATTTTGCCATTAAGTTGCACAGCCCCTTGCCAGCTGCAGAAGAATGGGGAGACTTGGAAGTCTCAAATTCTCTTGCAGAAGGAAATGTTCTTTCATGAGCAGGGACATTCACTTCTTCCAAAAGAAACCCAAAGCCCTCTTCTCCAGCCTTTCTTGTCTACCTCCTCCCCAGCCTCTTGTCGCCAGCTGCCTTCCCATTCAGTCATTCACCAGTGTCTTTCTGTTTGGTTTAGTCTCTGCCTTCATCCTTACCAGCCCATCCCTATGTTGCCCACATAGTACCCTGTCAACCTAATTTCCCAGCTTCAAAGCATGGAGTGCTACTCAGCAAAGTGGTTTTAGGCATTTTTAACATGAACATGAAAAACATCTTTTTCTCTGACCTTATTCTGAGAGGTGGCTGAATTGCTCTTGCCCACATTTCAAGTGTCATACAGATACCTCAGGCCAATACCTACCTTGAAAAAACTTGGACCAAATGATTAGTTTTGCAAAGTTATATGCTACTAAAAATAGCCTATCTTTTTGAAAGTGTCAGGTGACTTGAACTATAGAATGTATTTGATACTATGTAGCAGAAAATGTTAAACTTGAAATTTACTAGTAATTGAAATGGATTTAGATATGAATGCTGTCTCATGGGTTTAAACACAGAAGTGGCATTCAGTTAGAAAAGATGAGGATCATGATAAAAATGTTTTGAGTTAGGAAATACTGTAATGAAATAAACTACAGGAATGTTAAGTCTAGTTGATGTAGAGTAATGATTTAGGAGGAGGAAATCACAGAAAATGCTAAGTTGGGAAGTGTTGCAAACATTATGAGAATATAAGAATAATTTCTGGCTTAAAGAGAGGAAAAGGTCCACTACTCAGTGACATGCAGTGAGAAAAGATACAGAGTAATAATGTAGCAAAAATAATTTAAAATATCCAATATTAAAATCAGAGGAGAAATTTGGTGAAAGCAGCTTGGGAGTAATAGTGAATTAATAATTAGTGAAGAGCTTGCAATTTAATATGGTAGCAAAAAATGCCAGTGTGCTTTTTGGAATGAATAGAGATGTCATGTCAAAGGAGGTAGTACTTCCCATGTACACACACAGCTGTGAGATGATCCTACATAAAATGCCTCATTTAGTATTGGGTACCTTCTAACTATAGATATATTGCCAAGTGGGAAGGATCTTTTCTACAGAAATTTGAAGGGTGTAAAGAAGGAGAAAAAATGTATGTGTATTGCAAGAACATAAATCACAGTAGGAGAAATCAGGAAAAATAGACATCCATGGAAAAACAGTGGCAGAACTCTCTATTAGGGCAGACAGTAATATGTAAAATGGAGTAATGAAAGATACAGGACATTTCAAAAATATAGACTGGCAAAACTTTAGAAGAACTGTCTTTCACTTGGAGGGAAAAGAATTGGGATCAAGTAATGGTCTTTCCTTTTTCTAATTTTCAAATTCCAAGAAAACTCTGCTTTTTCTATTTTTTCCACATGCTGTATGCCCCCAAATAAAACACACCTTGTTTTGGGAAGGCAGAATGAAGAAAAAGAAAGAGATTATTACAGAGCCTTCCCTGCTGGAGCATGGGCTCACCATGGCTGAATGCTCCCAGCTACATGCAGGAGTGCCAGAGTCCACTTCTCAGAACCACTCACCCTTTCCTTGCAGCTGCACAGCTAGAGATATAACCCTATCACAGCTGCTGCTGAATTGGCTGCTCTGTCAAAAACTGCAAGCAGAGGGTGAGATGATGAGGAATGAATGCCATCCCTCCTGCATGGGATGGGGAAGGGAGCACAGCCCCTGGCAGCTGTTCTAGAGTCCCTGTGCCTACATTCTGGCACAGAAATTACCTTTCTTGCTTAAAACTTGCACCCCAGTTTTGGACGGCAGTTTTTTGGGAAAGGGGTATATGCATGTAAATATGGTAATTAAGATAATACTGTGGTGGGTTCCCACCCCCAACTTTTAGGCATAACATTAATGTGTACTTGTGTTCCTGCACGTGCACATTTGAAGGAAAAATATTGAACAGGTGCTAACAGAGCCCTACTCATCATTGTATTATATTGATCTGATTTAGTGGGTCCTTAGCTGTAAAAGATGAAGGTGGTATGTTGCAGAGTGGTTGAAACCAGTTAGGAAGTTTTGAGGTGCCAAAAAAATTAATAAAAAATCCTAAGACATTCCAGTACTAGATTTCCCAAGGTCTGTCAGGGAAGCAAATAAGCTTGCATGTGAAATGTGGCTTATGACTTGCCTTATGATCTGGAAGCTTGTTAATGCACATGATTTCAGTGGAAGTACTCTGAAATGCAACATCTCGTACTTGATAACATTTGGCAACTTTTTCCCCCTTTCTATATTCCTTTTAATTAAAAAGCTAGCCACTTTCTTCAGGTTAAAAGATTTGCACAGGACTTATATATTTATACTTACATAAAGTCATTTAGCTGGAAAAAATACTTTTTTAAAGTTAGAGTTGTTGATTATAGTGTAGTTAATTTTTTTTTGGAAGCTTAGATTTTCAAATAATTATCAGACTTAGGTTGCTTATATAGATAAAAGAAATTTAGATGCCATTTTTCTCCCTCTTTATTTGCACCAAGTGTTTCAGATCTTTTATTGCAGTCCTCCGTAGGCTTTTTCCTCCAAACTCTTTTCCAGTTAATGTGAAAATTGGAATATTCTGTTTTTACAGCCCTTATGTTTCACTGTATTTTATATGTGGACTCATTGTTCTGTGTGTTCAAAAAAAAGGTTGTTTTTACTGAATGATTGCAAATATAATCCGCCCTTAATATGTATGGCTCTTCTGACTTCTTCCTTCAGCATGTTTAAAACTGTTGTTTGCTTGTGTTTTAATAACAGGGCAGCCCAATGGATCCAATGGTAATGAAGAGACCTCAGCTATATGGAATGGGCAATAACCCTCATTCTCAGACACAGCAAAGCAGTCCATACCCGGGGCAGTCATACGGCCCTCCAGGTCCCCAGCGATATCCAATGGCAATGCAGGGACGGACCCCAGCTGCCATGGGTGGAATGCAGTATCCACAGCAACAGGTTTGTAGAGGATTTTTCTGCGTTGCTTTGGTTTCCTGTCTTTTCCTCTCCTCCTCTGCCATTCTGGTTAATGTACAGACTACAAGAAAATTGTCAGAACAAATTTCCTCTTTCAGAATGAAAGTAAAGGGATATTTTAAAAACAAATCTATATATTCATGGCCCAAATTTGTTTGCTCAAATTAGATCCCAACTCTAAACTAAGTAATATGCTGTTGACTGCACTTTAAAGAGAGGAACACCACTGAAGTTTCTCTTTGGTTGACATCACTGTCTTTTTCTGGATATTTTTTGTCCACGTAAATACACACCTTTTCTTTCCCTACACTGAATGTGTTTCTTCATCTGCAAGAAGAAAAACTCTGAACATAAGCTAGTACAGCACCAGTTTACTGACATGAGACCAATATTGTTTATTGTGCAAGAGCCTGTCATGTCTTTGCATCAGAGTTGTGTGTGTGGTTTTTGTTGCTGTTGTTGTTTTTTGCAGAGCTTTCTGTGTATTTATTCTTTTTCTCTTTCTGTCTTTCTTTACAAAAAAAATCTTTGACTTGATATTAGAGGACATATAAATGTAACTCTCTCCCTTAGTTGGATTTCAGTTTTGATGGTGACCTTTTCATACCCTTTTTAAGAGGGTTAATTACCCACATTTGCACCACATATTAGAGAAGGATGTAGTGATTGTTTTCTGAAGGGGAAAATAGATGAAGGTTATCCAGAAAGTGTGTTGGCAAATTTCTGCTAGATTGTGTATTAGGCTTGCTAGTGCAGACTGAGAGACTTCTATACTTCATTGTAAACACAAGACTTTTTTATAACAAATGGAAAATGGTGTATTTTCTCTACTTGAGGCTAGCTAGTTGCAAATAATTTGCTGTGTATGGTTTTTTAAATGTAGACAAGGATAGAAAATAATGGTCTGTCAGAAAAAAATGCTTTTTATGAATTAGTTCATGATTTCAGATGCACTCTTCTGATGAGTTGTAACATTTTATCATCTTTTTTCATTAGATTTATTTTTTAAGTAGATGTCTGCTTGTTTTGAAGATGTGATTTGGTTTAAAGGCCGCAAACAACATACTTTGTTGCCAGCTTAATATAGCAAAGGCATTTTGCCAGTTTAGTAAATGGTGCACAGTTATTATCAGACAGGGAGGCAGAACAAGGAACCTTCCATTCTCTGTGTAGCTACAGCCAAAGTAAAGTTATTAAAACACATTTTTTATTTTTAAAAGAATTATTCCTATGTTATATAGATATGTGTTGAATTTTTCACTTCATTTGCTAATTGCTTGATAATTGTAAATTATCCGTCAGCAAGCAGTGACCTGGCACAGTGATTGGCTGCTGGCCCTATCTGTCTTCTCATGGCATTAATATAATTGGCTGAGTAACATTACAGTTATGATTACTAATGCTCTTCAGGGAAAAAGTGAGAGGATAATTATGACATTGAATTTTTATTGAACGGACATCACCACCTAGGCACAATCTTGTTTTGGACAGCCTCCAAAGCTTCATGTGTTTGGTTTGTGAACCTCTAATGGTCTGAATCCAGTACTTTTCATATTGCTCATATATTACCACCTTTCTACAAAGGATTAAAATGCAGGAATGCAGGCTTGTAAATTGAATTGCCAACTTACCAGCTGAGTGGTAAGTTGTCTTTGGCTCAGGATACCACAGTTTGATTCCTGGCTGGAATTTTACTTCAGTGACATGAATATTAAATAAGAGAAGGCCAGTAATGCTTGTTTAAAATTGGTTGCATAGCATGTGTATGCTTTTTAAATATTACTTTATAAGATCAGCAGTTTCAGAGAGCAGTTATTCAGTGTTTTAAATGGCAGCTTTTTATGGTATCTCAAATTGTGCACCCAGAAAATGATGTCCGAAGAATTATACAGCACTCCTGAAAACTTGATGGGATGAGATATACAACCTTAAACATATGAATTATACTGATTTAAATCTTGTCAATTTGCAGCTTTGGGCAGGTCTAATTTGAGAGTGGACAGTACTATACTTTGGAGACAGTGAAGGGAGAAATCGCTTCCTTGGCAAATCAGCTTTATTTTGCATTTTTAAAGTCATGTTTTTAAACGTTAGAATAAATCCTGGATAGAATTCAAGAAAAGTGGATAAAGAAATGTGGTAGAAGCTGTTTTTTTCTCTGGCATACTATCTGTATACAAATGTCATTTAGGAGTCTCCATTCCGTGAAATGAGAGGAGTAGAATTTTCCAAAACTCTAAACACTTCTGAGTTTTGAAGGAAGAAGTCATTGAAATTGTAATTTACTTCTTTGATGAAGTAACTACTGGGGTTGATGAAGGGAATGCAGTGGATACAGCACATCCAGACTTCAGCAAGGTTTTTGACAAGGTCCCACATGACCTCATAAACAGGTTGGGGAAATTTATAGAATACTATAAGGTGGATGAACAACTGGCTTAATAGCCACAAGCAAACGTAATTATAAATGGATCCATGTCAGAATGCCAGGAGGTTTTGAGTGGAATTCCACAGGGGTCTGTCTTGGGCCCAGTGTTGTTCAATGTGTTAGTTAACAATTTGGATGCTGGCATTGAGAGCTTCTTGAGCAAGTTTGCAGATGACATGAGACCAAGAAGGATTTTGAACACAGAGGATGGGAGCACAATTCAGAAGGATATTGACAGAATGGAAAACTGAGCTGAAGCTAACAGGATGAAGTTCAGTGCTGACAAATGCAAGGTGCTACACATCAGGAAAAATAAAGATACAAATACAAAATGGATGAGCCCTGGCTAGGTGGCAGCACTGCAGATGAGGATCTGGGAGTCTTGGTAGATCACAGATTCAATAAAAGTCTGTAGTGTGATGCAGCTGCACAAAAGGCGAATGTGTTTTTGGAATGAATCAATAGAAGCATCACAGAATCTCTGTACTCAGCACTGGTTAGGCCTCATCTAGAGTATGGTGTTCAATTTTGGGTTCCATATATTAAAAAAGGATGTGGAAGATTTGAGAGGGTCCAGAGGCAGGTGACAAAAATGATGAAGGTCTTGGAGGGCAAGTCATACAAGGAAACGCTTAAGAAGCTAGGCATAGCTTATGGAAAACAAGCTTGAGAAGAGGAGCTGATAACAGTTTTCGAATACTTGAAGGGCTGCCACAACGAAGAAGAAAAGCACCTTTTCTCTTTGCTGCAGACAGTAGGCTTGAAGTTGCTGCAGAATAGGTTTAGATTGGATATTGTAGAAGAACTTCTTAATTGTGACAACAGTGAGGCAGTGGAATAGACTAGGGAAGTTGTGGACTCTCCTTCACTGGAGGTATTCAGGAAGACGTCAAACAGCCACTGGATGAGGATGGCCTATGCATGGTTATGCCTGTGTTGTGCTGTGGGTATTTGCCATGTGTCTGGGCTTTGCTTGTTTTGTGCATTGGTCTGGGAAAGAACTCTTGTCTCCCCGTCCTCTGCACCACCTGTGTCAAAGGTTTTTTCCCTTAAGTCTTCCTTGGAGGCATTGGTTGGTGGGTGCCCAAGGCTTGGGGCTGGGACTGGGGCATGTCAGTGCTCCTGCTGATACTTAAACCTGGAGGTTTCTGGCTAGAGGGTCTTGCCCTTCTGCCCAGGGTAGGTCATTCACCACATTTGGGGTCAGGAAGGAATTTTACCTCATGGTCAGATTAGTGTGGACTGTGGGGGGTTTTCCCTTTCTCCATTGTAGGGGGCATAGTCCTTTTCCTGGACTCTCCTGAGTATATGTTAACAACATTTACAGCAGCAAAATGTTGGCTGTCATGGTCCCCCTGTTTTGTCTGTGGCAGCTTAGGGTATTATGTCTTACTTTGCATCAGGGTTAACTGTCTAGTTTTGCTAAGAGATTAGACAATGGATTTTTAGAGGATGGTTTGGATAGTGATGATCCTGCCTCAGGCAGGGGGGTTTGGGACTATATGACCTATGGAAGTCCCTTTCAGCCCTACTTCTCTCTGAATCCTGAATCAATTTTAGCTACAGGGTCCTGTAGCTTTGGGTTAGAGCTGTCTGCACTGACAGATTTTAGCTTTCAGGTCTGGTGCTGGACATGGTAAATGAAGAAATAAAGGAAATAAGGAAAGAATTGAAACAGTTAACATGAATTCCTTATTTCCTAAAGTTTTCTAAATAAATGCGATTATTTTTACTTTTTAAAAGAAAACAGCATCTTCATCCATGCTGATGAAGATCCAATCCAAAGATGTAACAAAAAAGTATGATAAGGAAAGGAGGCTTTGTTCTCTGTTCAGACAACAGATAGAAAGTAAAAAGACATGCAAGTGCAGTCACCTTAAACTTCAGAGGTGTTAAGCACCATTGTTGAGGGAGGAAGAGGTCTAATAATACGGCAAAATGAAAAATTCTTTTGCAACTGCTCTGAGCTTCATGTAGTTTTGATATAGGAAAGGAAAAGGAGTGATGTCATTAGCCTTCATCTGTGGCTTTCAGCACTTGATGGGAATCCTAAGACAGCGGTTGTTAACCAGGGGCATACATACTCCTAGGAGTACTTAAAAAGGTTGTAGGGAGTATGGGCAGGCTCCTGCTGCTGTGCGCACCCTGGCAGATGCCCGGGGGGCATGTACCCCCTGATCTATGTGCAGGATGGAGGTGGCTGCAGCTGCATTCTGGGCTTTGTGCACCACTACAGCTGCCCCAGGAGTGGTGTGACACCACATGCCTGCCGCCTCTGGGCTGCACTATGCCCCCTGCTCGCCTGGCTGTGGGACACACATGACGTTGCATTGCTCCTGGAGCAGCTGCAGTGGCACGCAAAGCCCAGTGCACAGCAGCAACTGCCTTCACCCCACAAACATCAGGGGGCATGTGCCCTCCAGGCCTATGCTGGGGGCCACGCAGAGGTGGGAGCCCCCCTCCCCACACCCATGGACGAGCTGCCCGGGCTCCAATTGTCCCACAACCCAACCCCGCCTGGCCAGGGCCTCATTCACCCCAGCCCCTGCCCCGT